TAGAAGATGCTAAAATAGATAAAAGTAGTATTGATGAAGTAGTATTGATAGGAGGAAGTACAAGAATTCCAAAAGTCGTTGAGATATTAAAAGAATTTTTCAATGGGAAAGAACCAAATAAAAGTATTAATCCAGATGAAGCAGTTGCGTATGGAGCAGCAGTACAAGCAGCTATATTAACAGGAACCGGAGGGAAAGCAACAGAAGATGTGTTATTACTTGACGTTGCATTAATTAAATTTTGTGAGTCATTTCTTTTTTTTGTTTACTCACAAAACATTCTCACTCCTTAGTATTAAATTAATATGTGACAGTAAAGTAGAAAAGGATTTGAATAGAATATAATAAAATAATATTTAGAATAAATGTTATATCTTTTTGAGGAAATACATTGAATTTATATTCTTTTATCACAGCCGCAAATAACAATAACTTTGCTGAGTATAAGATAAAAAGAAAAAAATAAAAACTTCAAAAGAAAAAGAAAAAGGACAAAAAAGAGAGAACTACAAAATTAGTAAGTGAGAGGGATGGAAATAGAGAGACAAAGTGAAGAAAGTGCAATGGTCAAATATTATAAACACAAGATAGATGAAATGACATATGAGTATTGTACAGAGTTACAAAATCAACGACGATTAATTTCTAAAAGAAATCAATTAAATGACCAAGTAAGACGAATGAAAGAAGAACTTCAATTATTATCAGAACCGTCATGTTCAGTTGGGGAAGTTATACGAGCTGTAGGAAAAGATAAGGTATTAGTTAAATCAACACAAGAAGGAAAATATGTTGTTAAAGTCGAAGCAGGAATTGACATAAGAGCATTGAAACCCAACCAACGAGTAGCACTAAAAAGTGATACATATAGTATTTGTAAAGTTCTTCCAAATCAAGTAGATCCATTAATATCATTAATGAGAGTAGAAAAAGTACCAGATTCAACATATGATATGATTGGAGGATTAGATCAACAAATTAAAGAGATAAAAGAAGTAATTGAATTACCAATCAAACATCCTGAATTATTTGAATCACTTGGAATTGCACAACCCAAAGGTGTATTATTGTATGGACCACCAGGAACAGGCAAAACATTATTAGCAAGAGCTGTAGCACATCATACGGATTGTACATTTATTCGAGTTTCAGGGACAGAATTAGTACAAAAATATATTGGAGAAGGAA